ATTTGTTTACCACATTCCATTTTACGTGCTCACTGCAAAATACAAAACTTTAATTTACTTGGTTATTTCCTTGTGCACTCCCTGCTGCTCGAGACTTTAAAGTCTGGATTTTCTCAAAGACCAGGTTGACTTTCCTTTTAGTAGCGTCATCATTATCGGTGCTTCTGGAAAAGAGGCAGCAGAGATAAACAATGAGGGACACAACCATTGGTCTCAGACTGGAGAAAACAACATGTACCACAACACACATACAGGTCTTTAAGAAAAGAAGTTGCAAGAGGCATGAACTAGCTAAGGTTGCAAATAAAACCAGTGTGAAAAAAATTAGTAGAATATTTTTCTTCAAATAAGTTCTTAGGATGTTATCACTCAATTTGAGAGAGGGATTCCTATCTCCAAATGTGTGAGAGATATAACTGCATTCTAGACAAGTTGGGAAGAAACATTCAGTGAAACTTCCAGAAAAAATCCATTGTTTCAGATTCAAAACAACTCATATTCATTCCAATTATAAAGTTCTCTACCTCTCTTCCTGTTACGCGTGCGCGTGCACACACACACACACACACACATCTGTTTTGCTTTTATTTCTTACACTAAGAATGCTCTGATCTTAACTTGTTTAGTTGATGTTCAAAAAAATAAAAACATCTTCCAAGCCTAGATTGCCAACACAGCCAGCCTCTGTATGCTTTCACGGGTAACAATCATATAACATAAAGTTTCATTAACTTCTACTGTACCTTCTACCACACCAACTTGGCAATCAGAAGAAAAAGATTCAAAGTAAGTGTTCTTAAATAGGAGCTTCATGCTCTCCACAAATCATGGGCCAGAAAATAAAGGAATTCCAAGAAAGAATTTCAGAAACCAAAAGTTTTGCTATCTTAATCTTGATATGGTAAAACCCTTCGTGATACTAATAACTAGCTCTTGGTTAGAAGCACTTCTTTAGCGTCTTTCTCTCTCTCTCTCTCTCTTTTTGCAAACGGGCCTCCATCTTGTATTTTGAACTGGGACATTTTATCAGCCCTACAATACTGACAAGTAATCGCAGGGTACAACACAAAACTATGAAGTGCTTTGAAGCCAGTGAGTATTTGCCAAGTGTCTTTCAGTCATGCCAGGCTGTAAAGTTTTGTTTGGTTCTGTGTTTTTCTTTCTAATCGTATCTGATGAGAGAACTGAAACAGAAACTTCACATTCCTTGCCTAGTGTTCCAGAGTAGTTAGTATCTAAGTCAGGACTGAAAACCAGATTACTCAAACTCAACCTCCAAGATAAGTGTGGAAGGCACAGCTTTTAAATGACTCATACATGCTGTAACAATAATGAAAGCAGGGGCTCCTGGCCAATGTTAACTTAGAGGAAGGAATAAGCATGTTTTTATTTGTAACTTCTCATTAAAGGAAGATTGAATATTACTGTCTACATGAAGAAATCAAGGTGAATGCACATTCAATTCAAAATTGAATAGCAGACATTCCAACATTCCTCCTATCTTTGCATTTGTCTTTGAAACAGTATAGGGTCATTTTAATAATATAGTAATTCTTAAATTTTAAAGTATTCCCTATGCCCTCCCCTACACCCTATCTCCCCCACCTTAAATGCTGTCATGCAAACTCTAGCCATTGTTACTTACCCCCAAAGGGCTCACATACAGGACAGAAAAAGAGGGAAAAATGCAAGGTCTCAGAAGAGAAGAGTAAGACCACCACCAGGAATTGAAATGTTTTACTTTAAGGAAAATTACTCACCCTTCTTTGAGGTAATTGTAAAGTATCTGTTTAGCAGTCTCCTCATTGGTTTGTTGAGTGAGCTCCTGCTGGCCTTTTAACAGATCTGGTGTAGCCTGGAACACAACGTCTGTTATTAGATCAGGATTACCTTTCCCAGAAGAAGCAGAGGTTTGCACTGACATTACTGCTTTCCAGAAATGATTCTTGGGGTAAGGATCCGAAGGACAGTCAACTCCATTACTGACTAGCTGCATGACTTTGCAACTTTTCCTTAACTAGCTTTTCTCACCTGGGAATTGAGGACAATAGCACCTGTCTTCATAGGGTTGGTGCAAGCCTATAATATGTAGCAAAAAGTGCCTGGCACTTACTCAAATTACTATTGTTACTAATAGTACATTCAATTTCGTCACTTTGTTGTTGTTGTTATGTGCCGTCGAGTCGGCCCGACTCATAGCGACCCCTCCTTGGGTTTCCGAGGCAGTATCACTATGGAAGTAGGATTGCCCAACCTTCCTTCGTCACTTTAGGATTAACCTAATATCTCAGCCCAGAAATTAACCCAGTCACTCAATTTCATAAGGAAAATTTATATGTCTACACAAACTAAGTATTAAACCTCTGTGTGGAAGCAAATTCTTTGTACTTTCAGGTTTCACATATATACAAACGGAAAAACCAGGCCTCTATTGCGTTACCTTACAGAGAAGACCACAATGAAAATCTAGTTCTATTTGAATTAACCCAGGAAACTATATAGGAGTCCTGGTGGCACAAATGGTTATGCACCTGGCTGCTAACTGAAAAGTTGGTGGTTCGAAACCACCATTGGCTCCATGGGAGAAAAGACCTGGAGAGCTGTTCCCATGAAGATTTATAGCCTAGGAGACCCTATAGGGGAATTCTACTCTGTCACATAGGCTCTTTAGGAGTCAGAATTGCCTCAGTGTATGCCCCTGAGACAACAACAACAACAAAGAAACTATCCAACTGGCAGTAGGACATGATCTGTAAAGAAAAACCCTAAAAAAATTCTGTTGTCCATTATTGATTAAAAATGAAGAATATGTATTCCTATAGTGTCCTGAAGCATGACACATTAAATCATTCAAAAGGGAAAAAGAAAAGAATCACACTAGTATTACCTGAGCATTTGAGGTGGAGGGAAACGTCTTCACTGATATTTTCTTGGCACCAGAATCAGGCAAAGTTGCTACTGCCCGATTCTGTAACATCAAGGTCGCGGTGGCTGTTTTTATTTCCTCCTCCTTTTTCTTCTGTGCTGGGAGGGAGGATGCATGCATCATTGTACTTTCCTGACTACCTTTGTTTTCTTGAACTTTCCCATCTTTGTTCTCCTGGGAGGGTCTGGGGGGAACACAGTGTGTGCCCTGAATTGCCCCCTGCAGCTTCGCAAAGGTTCGACCCACACTTTGCTTTCCACGGTGCTCATGAGAGAGCGGTTTCTGCGGGCAGACTTGGGATGGTCGCAGGAGGTGTTCATTTGACTTACCCAAGTTCCGACTAAATTCACTTAGGTACTCTGAGTTCCCTTGCAGACCAAATGGAAAGGCACTATCCACACTTCTGGACCTTTTCCTATCATCTAGATTGATTCTGTTTCTCTTCCCAGACCTTCCTCTTCTCTGAAGCCCAGGTTTTTGATCAAATTTTTCAATTAACTGATCTACTCCTGGAATGGATCCTGTATCAATATCCCGCCCAGTTCCTGGCAAGAAGGGGATATACCTTCTATTTTCATGACGATTCACATTGTCAGCATGGATGGCACATTCTTGATCATCAAGTAAAAATTTGTATAGGGAGTTGGCCGAAGTGGGAGTTGTTGATGACGAGGAGGACCTCCGTGATCGAGACCCATCTAGTATGGGGCCAGCTGAATCTTGTCGCCGGAAGGGAAGAACATCTGGCCTGGTTTTCTTGGATTCATGGTGGGTGTGTGGGCCGTGGGTGGTTAGCAGCCTCCCACTAGGTAAAAGGGCCTCCTCGGCCACCCCCTCCTTGGTGCGGCTCTGAACATTTACACACACTGATGTCTGCTTCCTGGGGTCATCTATGACCATGGAGCTGCATAAACGAATGGCTGTCACATTGGGTTTTGGCAGGTCTTCCAGAGGAGGGCTAGTGGGCGGCTGGGAATTGCTAGGTTTGGGAAAGCATGTCCAAGGCTTCTTATCATTGGTACCTTCTTTGGTTAAAGTTTTTAGCCTATTGCTCTCAGGAGACTGGTGGTTTTGTGAGTTCAACTCATTCTTTTCAGGGTTGTATGGCTGCAAAAGCTCAGGGTGCCTCTGAAAGTTCAGCATGTGAGAAGGCTGCACTGGCCTGTCTCTGTGTTCTAGAACTCCATTCTTCCCCTCATATAGAGTGCCTTGTTTTAGGTTCTTTATGGGGCTGGGTGGGGCATATGGGTTTTCTGGGAGCTGCAATTCTTCTGCATCACTCTCCCCAAGCACAGACCCATCGCTAGAATGCGGAGGCAGGTTATTTATCATTGGAGATGGAAACGATGGCCCATTTTCAGAAAAAGATGTGCCTGCCAGACACCGCTCTGTGTTATTCAGGACTATGTAGGGATGGCCATCAATCCCCTGCACCCTAATACTGACACCATAGGAACCTCCCTTTGAGTGCTGGGAATTCCTTGATTTTCTGCTTTCATCGCTTGCAAGTCTCAGGTGGACACCATATTCCTGCTGGACGTGTTGATATTCACCAAAATACAGCTCCATGGCTCACTGTTTCAGCTACCAGGGAAAGATGAGGTAAAAAGAGGGTAATAAGTCAGACTTGCATCTGTTTAAATGAAGATTATAACAATTATGAGGGAAAAGGAGCTCTGGTGGCATGATGCCTAAGGCCTTTGACTGCTAACTAGAAGGCTGGTGGTTCAAACCCACCAGCCACTCCTCAGAAGGAAGGTTAGGCAATCTACTTCCGTAGAGATAATACCTCAGAAACCCAAGGAGAGGTCACTATGAGTTGAATCAACTCGACAGCAGTGAGTTGTTATGAGGGAAAAACTTCAAAGTTCAAAGAAAACAAAACACTTCAAAGAGCGAGGATGCTGCAGAACCAAAGGCTGATGACCCCTTCCTCTGACTTGCACAGAGAGGCCTTTCTGGATGCCCAAGAGCTTATGGGGCCACAGTGTCTGCCATCAGAGGGCTAAATTCTGACCTCATGGTAGGTGAGTGGTGTAGTGATCTGATGGCTTTGGCATAACTTCATTATTCTGTTTCTAGCATATCTCTCTAAGAGCACAGTGGTGGTTCAGTGGTAGAATTCTCACCTTCCATGCAAGAGACCCACATTCAATTCCTGGGTAACGTAATGCACCTTAAGCATAGCCACCACTCATCTGCTTCTTTTCCCCCCTCTTACTTGGTTTCCTCACACTTTGTGCTGTATATTTTTAACCAGCAGGATATTCCATCTGAGAAAAAGGTACTTTTCCATGAAAATAATTAAGAGTTAAGGAGTTCTGAAGCTTACCAGTTTTCTCTCTTTTCTTATACTGTTACTGCTCTTATTAAAATAACACATTCAGTCCTATTTTAACACACAATCCTGCTTTAGAATGTTTAACACTTTCATTTGGATATAATGTTGTTTAAAACATTTTTACTTTAAGGCATGAACCGCTTGTTAGATGGTCAGTGAAAGTAAATGACCAAAAATAATTTTCAATCTTCTTTTTCTTACCAAAGAAGTTCAAATAGTCTGTTGATCTGAAAAATGTGGTAAAGACTGAAGACCCAGTGCTTTTTATTTTGTGATGGGCTAAGATGCCAAGAATCACTGCCTTCACCATTCTGGTGGGGGCCACCCTTGACGGGTAAGTGCACACAGATCCCCAGGCAGGCCACCCAGCCTAGTGGACACACTCTGAGGTATTCACACCAGAAATTCATTTCTGTCACTTAAAAAGAAAAAAAAAAAAAAAAAAAAAGGAGACCCCAAAAGAGCAATAACAACAGGTCACAAATAACAGCTGTCTCAATTCTTTTGCTACTAGGGACATTTTTTAATATTCTTTTTACTCCAGGGTCACTCATGTAGTATATTTTCTAACAAAATCATCTATGTAATCTACATTTGTAGCATTTGCACAGTTAAGCAAAGTATAAATCATTTCATTGCCCCTGTATGTTACTGTTTTTCATAATCTAATTTGACTTCTGTTTTCTCCCCCCTTTTCTTGATTAGCCCAGTTAGTAGAATATGTGTGTATGTACATACATACGTGTTTATTTTTTAAATTGCTGTTCCCTTTAAAAAACTAGCTCTTAAATTGAAATGTATCAATTCTTTCCTTCTTTCAATTTTCTAATTTATTGATTTCTAGTTGACCTTTAAGGAGCTCTGGTGGCATAGTGGGTAAGGCATTTAGTTGCTAACCAGAAGGTCAGTGGTTCAAACTCACCAGCTGCTTGCAGAAGAAAGATGAGGCAATCTACTTTCATAAAGATTTACAGCCTTGGAAACCCAATGGGGGTCTCACTATGAGTTGGAACCAACTTGATGGCAGTGGGTTTGTTTTGTTTTATTTTAGTTTGACCTTTACAGTTTTCTTTTGCTTTCCGCTATTTTATTTTGTTGTTCTGTTTCTAATTTCTTGACTTGGATGCTTCAATTGTTTATTTTCATTCCTTAAATATAGCCCATAAATTGTGAGATATAACTGTCAGTTAGGAATTACGTTGGCTTCTACTAACAAAGAGACCCAAAATAGCAGCTCAAATGAGTTAAGGTTTTTTTTTTTTTTCCCCCTCAGAGGCTGGAAATTGAGGGCTGCAATGGACTCCATATTTATGAGGAACACCTCTTTTATCTTTTCACTCATCCGTCTTTAGCATGTACTAACCTTATGATCAAAAAACTAGCTGAATAAGCATCACATATGCAAGAGACTTAAGTCAGAAGCTGAGTCAACATTCATTTTAAAGAGCTTTCCTGCAAGGCCTGTCTACCAATAATCCCTTACATCATATTGGTCAGACACCCCTACTGCCAAAAGAGGCAGGGAAATAGTTTTTCAGCTGGACACTGCCACTCTTAACAAAAATCAACGTTAGAAAGAGAAAAGAGGATTACAGACATTTCAAAAGGCAGCCAGCATGTCCTACCACAGTAATGTTTCCATTATTTTCTAAATAGATTCCACTTTTGGTTTGATTTCTTCTTTGACCCACAAATTGTCTGTGATCAAGATTTTTCATATCGAGTATTTTTGTTTTTGTTGTTTTAGTTTGGAGGATCTTTGTTTCCTATGTTGGTAAATTCTAGCTTTATTGTATTGCATCAGAAGTCTCCATTATTTCATCTTTTAAATTTATTTGAGGTTTCCTTTGTGAGCAAATATACAGGCAACTTCTGTCAATGTTTCATGAGTTCTGGATGTAGTCTTCATTTTAGGAGATGGTATTCAAAATAATAGTCATACAATCTTATCAAGTATTTAGCTCAGTTATAGCACATCTTTACTTGTTTTGTCTTTCCAATTATTTTGGGGGTTCTCCTACCACTAACACGGTGTTGTCAGTTTCTCTTGGTGGTTATTTTGTTCAGCTGTAAGACAGCATTAAGCAGCCCTGGTAGCACAGTAGTTAAGAGCTTAGCTGCTAACCAAAAGGTCAGCGGTTGGAACCCACTAGCCGATCCACAGAAGAAAGATGTGGCAATCTGCTTCTATCTCTTTACAACCTAGGAAACTGTACTAGCAGTTCTACTCTATCTTTAGAGTTGATATAAGTCAGAATTCACTTGATGGCAATTTTTTTTGGTTTAAAACATCATTGTTCCCCATTTTACAGGTTAGAAATAACTCAGAGGCACACATTCGTCATTATCTCACCAATTCCAATTATTTCATTATGTCTACTTTCATTTTCATCAAAATTATACTAATATTTTTAAATAATTTAACTAATTTTTAATTAAACTAAAAGAACTCAAAAAACCCTCACTGCCATCGAGTCGGTTCCAACTCATGGCAACCCCTCCTTGGGTTTCCGAGGTGGTATCTCTACAGAAGTAGATTGCCCAGTCTTCCTTCCAAGGAGTGACTGTTATTTTTCTCCAAAACTTAATTAATAGGACCTTTATTTTATCCCTGGTATTCTGACCTTTGACAATAACATATGCAGTGTGGGTCATTCAAAATTAACATCATAAGCACTTTGTATACTCCTTCAATGTAGAAATTCATATTTACAGTTATATGAGACATTCTTGTATTATTACTGTGATAGCATTTTTCCATTTTTTTCTGTTCTTGCTTCCTGAATCTCCTATAATAGCAATGTTGAATCTTCTGGACTGAATTGCCAGTTTTCTTATTTCTTTACTCTTCTTTTTTTTCAACCTTTTTGTCCTACATTTTGAAAAATGTATCCTCAACTTTTAAAAAATTTCAACTACTGAATTTGTACTTTCCAAGGTTCTCCAATTATTTCTATTTCATAAATGTTATTCTTATTCTAGAAATACCTTCTTTTGCTGAGATTCTTTTCCAAAAATTAAGTTTTCTTCTGCTTTCTGCAGCATCTCTACCTTCTTCAAGACTTTTTTTTATTGTTTGTTTTGATCCATGTTTTTCATGTTGACAGTTTTCTCAATATGTCTCAAAAAGACTGGTGATCTCAAAATCATTTGGAAAAAAAAAAAGGGGGACCAGGTTTGTTGGTCTGATAGTGCCTGGTAGAACCACTGAGACTATGGCCCCTAGCTGCCCTTCAGGTCTAGAATTGAACCCACACACATGTAGCTTCCAGCTAAACAAAAGACAGGCATATGAGGTGAACATTTAGATACACTTCTTGGAGAGAACAATCATGGGAAAATAAAAGGGCTGTGTATGCACAGGGACATAGCTCAGGGGGCAAGAGTGCATGGAGGGAAGGACACAAGGAAGAGGTAACTATGGTGAAGAAGTGCGAGAGGAGCTGTTGCATTGTGGTAAATTTCAGTCAATGTCATGAGACAAAGTATATGTGAACTGCTGTATAGAAAGTGAATTTGCTCTATAAACTTTCACCCAAATCAAAAAAAAAAAAAAAAAAGACTGATGATTTTTGGCTGCCTAATTCCTATTTAAGAGTAAAGTCCTAACAGCAGAATGGAGACTGTATGTGTATAAAGAAGGTTTGTTAGCTGGTGAGGTTCAATTAATCATATTAAAGGGTGCCAAGCTTTCCACTGAGTGACCAGCAAATTTCAATATCTGGGGGTATTTTTATTATTCTTTATTTAATTATTTATTTTGGGGGGCAGGGGGAGTAGTTCAATTTCCCAAGAAACTAATCCATAAACACACTGTTAGGGTTACACTTACCTGTCTGCTGGCATAATGAGATAGAAGCAGGGAAAGAGCACTGGAGGCCCCAGCTCTCATTCTATCCCATTTTCAGTCACCCACACCCATCCTCCAACACTATTCCTGTTCAGTTTTTCCACAGAACAGACCTCTAGTCTTCTGCTCAGATGAGCTAGAGAGACAGGTACAGGTAGTTGGCCAGATGTCCAGCACGTAGAGGAGAACCTGGAGGTCTAACTTCTCCAGTTCTCAAGGCTCTTAAATAATGGCCTAGGCTTTGGCCCCCCACCCCTACATTCTACAGTAACTGATACCTTCCACTTCTGAGCCTCTCAGCAGTTCTGTAGAGGGATCACATCATTTTCATGTAGCAGGCATTTTCAGTTTGAAGCTTCTATCACACTGCTAACTCAATTATCTCTCCTCCATT